ACACACACACACACACACACACACACACACACACACACACACACACACACACACACGCACACACACACACACTCACCAGGCGTGGTGATTGTGAGTCACGATGCACGCCTGATCCTGGAGACGGACTGTGAGCTGTACGAGTGCGCAAACCGCACGTGCAAACGCATCGAGGGCGACTTCAATGACTACCGCGAGATGGTGCTGGCGCGGCTGGAGGACGACACGATTGTGGAGGTTGAGGGCCGGCGTGTGGAGACGGCAGCAACGAAGGCAGCGCAGAAGAAGGTGGACGAGGCCAACAAGAAGAAGAAGAAGAAGAAGAACATCGGGTTTTAACGGCCCAACTTTGGATTCTGCCCGTGCAACCAACGCTGTTGCGCTCATTCACAATCGCGACACTCCGCACACAGTATCGACGTGTGCAATGTCGTTGTCGTCGTTGTCTTGTTTCGTACAACCACCGCCACTTGTTTGTCCACCCTGTGCCCACTGTTCCCCTCTCCCCCCCCCCCCCCGTTGCTCGTCCCTTTGTTCTCCCTTAGAGCCATGGATTGATTCACACCAGCCAGCAATGTCAATTTGTGTCGTCGTCCAGTCCCACATGCATCATAAACAAGCAAACAATGGCTAGCAAGCAACACCACCCTCAGACAACACCCCCATCGCACCGTTCATCACACCCGTTCACCGTCCATGACTTGCGTTCCGCCAATTGCTTGCTTTCTTGTGGATGGAAGACCTTTCTGTGTATTCATGTTTCATGCCTCGTGTGTGAGCGAGCACTTGCTCTGAAGACAGCTCTCTCTTTGTGTTGGTATGCAAGAACATGGACAAGACAAACACAAAACACAGACACGAAACCGTGTGCATGCTCAAAGTTGCCCGATACACCCTATCACTCTCCCCAATGCTTCGGAGAGCAAATACAAGGAGATCATGACAACGAGGGACTGAGCAGAGCAGCAGCAGCAGTAGTGCACAACCAAGAATAAGCACGCCGACAGAGACAGGGAAGAAGAGAGAAGACACGATGAACAAGAAAGAGACGCTCAAGGGATAAAAGAAAAGAGGGGAAGAAAACACTCGCGTGTTAGTAGAGGGAGGGAGAACAGGCCTCGGGGCTGTATGCCTTACGCGGCAACGCAGCGGCATGAAGGGCAGCCGTTCTCGTCCGTGGTCTGCACCTCAACAGCGCCCGGGCGGCAGTTGCACACACGCACAGTGCAGCTCACAGAGGCACTTGTGGACGTGGTGGTTGTTGCCTGCGTGGTTGTGGTTGTGCCCGGTGCCGTCGTGGTTGTGGTATCAGCACGGGTCGTCGTCGTGGTGGTGGACGCTGCGCGAGTGGTGGTGGTGGTGGTGGTGACAGCGTCCTCGCAGCTAAAGGCGAGGAGCGTGTCGCCAAGCTGGCCGTTGAGGTCGGAGAAGTCCTCCAGCACAAACACGTTGCTGTCGCTGGTGGCAATGGTGCGCAGCTGCGTCTCGTCCACAGAGGAGGTGATACCGACAGAGACAACCTCGGCGCCGGTGGCGTGCAGGTTGGCAGCGGCACTGGCAACAAAGCTCGAATCCTCCTGGGAGCGACCGTCCGTGATGACGTACACCAGCACAGAGCCGCCGCGGTAACCAGCGCCAGACTGCAGCATCGTGTCAACGGCAAAGTTGAGTGCCGCGCCCGTGGCGGTACCGGCCGTGTTGCTTGGCGGGTAGCTGTATCCGGAGATGGCAGCCTGGATGGCCGTCTTGTCGTCCGTGAACGCGGTGAGCATCTGCACCTGGCTGTTGAAGAGGAAGGCGCCCACGTTGATGGCAGTAGAGCTGATGGTCATCTGGTCCACAAGGTCCATGACGAACTCCTGCGCCAGAGCAAAGTTGTCTGGGCCAACAGACCCAGAGTTGTCCAGGATGAAGAGCACGTCCGTTTGCCGGAATGTGCAGAATGGAGAAGTGGTGGTGGTGGTTGTCGTCGTCGTCGTCGTCGTCGTCGTCGTCGTCGTGGTCGTGGTAGTTGTGGTTGTGGTGGTCGTCGTCGTCGAAGTGGTTGTGGTTGTGGTTGTGGTTGTGGTTGTGGTCGTGACGGAGCCCTCGACGTTGCTGTTCGAGGTTGTGGTGGTGGTGGTCGATGTCGTTGAGGTGGTCGTCGTCGTCGTCGTCGTGGTTGTGGTAGTGGTAGTGGTAGTGGTAGTGGTAGTGGTAGTGGTAGTCGTGGTGGTGGTGGTCCTTGTGGTCGTGGTAGTGACTGGACGGGTGGTGGTTGTCGTGGTGACGGGGCGTGTAGTGGTGGTGGTCGAGACGCGGGTGGTGGTGCTGGCAATTGGGCCAGAGCACACGCGGCTGAGCACATCGGCGCGCACAACCTCGTCCAGGTCAGCAAAGTCCTCCACAATAATCACGTCATCCGGCGAGGAGGCGATAATCTCCAGCTGCGACTGGTCAATGGCGTCGGTGATGCCAATTGCGACGACGCGAGCGCCCGTGGCGTGGATGTTGTCTGCGGCGTCCTGCACAAAGCTGAGGGCCTCCTGGGAGTTGCCGTCGGTGATGAAGTAGACAATCGTGTCGGCGGGGTCACGGTTGCCGGCAGAGGGGACGAGGAGGTACTTGCGGATGTAGTTGAGGGCGGCGCCGGTGGCAGTGCCCCAGTTGCGGTCGGTCGGGTACACAAAGGAGCGCACGGCATCTGCAATCACGTCACGGTCAAAGCTGAAGTCAAAGTCAAACTGCGGCAGCGGGTTGGCGTGGAACATCATGCCAGCAACGCGAATCACGTCGGGATCCACGTCCATGAGTTCAACCGAGTCGGCAACAAAGTTCTTGGCAACTGTGGCATATGAGTGCGTGTGTGTGTGTGTGTACGTGTGAGAGAGAGAGTGTGTGTGTGTACGCGTGAGAGTGAGTGAGTGAGTGAATGAGCATGTGCGTGCGGGCGGGCAAGCATGCTTGCATGCACGTACAAACCAGACCGAGCTCATGGAAACAGCGCATGAGGCGAGCAAGCAAGCAAGCAAGCGGGCAGTCACGATGTTGCAACAAGACACAGGCAACAATCTGGACGCGAAACACACAATTGCAGCAGCCGACTCACTGTCAAAGTTGTCGACGCCGACGGAACCGGATGCGTCCAGGGTGAACAGGACATCGAGGGAGTTGAAGTCGCAGAGAGGGGCTGTGGTTGTGCTGGTTGAGCGAGTTGTGGTTGTGGAGCGCGTCGTCGTTGTGGTGGTGGTGATGACGCGGGTGGTGGTGGTGGTGGTGGTGATGACGCGGGTTGTGGTGGTGGAGAGCGCTGGGCGGCAGCCACACGCAGGGCAGCCATCGCCGTCGACGGTGTCGTAGCTCTCGTAGCCATCGAGGCAGACGCAGGTCCTGGTGGGAGGGCAGGTGTAGGTGGTTGTGGTTGTCGTGGTTGTCGTCGTGGCGTCGCACGAGTCGAAGCAGAGGTTGGCGTCCATCTGGCACTCCTCGCGACACTGTGCCATCTCCTCGCCAGAGAGGGTGGCGTTGGTGCAGGTTGGCAGGCACTCGTTGAGCATGGCGATGCAGGTGTCGACGCAAACAAAGTTGAACGTCTCCGTGAGGCCTGCGCGGGGTCCATAGTTACAAGTGAGCTCCTCCTCTGCTGCTGCGCCGGCCGCAAACACGGCAACGGCGACAAACAGCACCTTCAACAGGGCGCTGGTCATTGTGATGGTGGTGGTGGCAGGTGGCAGGTGTTTGTGGAAAGAGACGTGGAAGCTGAGAGAAGGGGGGAAGCAAGGAAAGGTTGACTGATATTGGGAGAGGGGACGGCTGGATGGATGGATGGATGGATGCTCACGGCAAACCCGCGACAACGACGGTGGTGCTGGGTGGATGTTGTGTGGTGGAGTAGGGAGGGAAAATGAGGCACGCGCTGCACGGATGCAGAGAGAAGCCACGAGAGAGTGTGCAAGCGTGAGCAGGTGTTGTTGGTGTGGCGGTTGTTGTTGTTGGTTGTTGAGCAGCAGCGCAGCGTGCATGTGGCGGTGCAGGTGCAGTGCGGCTGTGCTGTTGTGCTGCTGGGCTGTGCTTGACCGTTTCTTCTTTGCAGCCGAAAACAATAACCGTCAGGGCGAAAAATTGGCTGGTGTTTGTCAGGTTTTGTTGCCTGCATGCACGTGTTCGATGTACCGAACGTCGCGATGGGCCATTCCGTTGGCGTCGTTGGTGCACCGTTGCGGCTCAATACAATCAGTGAATGGGCGATTCACTGATTTGCATGCAGTGATTGGCATTGTGGGCTTGCTTTGGCTTGGATCCGTTGCTTGGGCGAGGCGTTGTGTGGTTGCATGCGCTGCATGCCACAACGAACAGCTCTGCGTTGGGTTTTGTCAGTGTGTGTGGCTGTGTGTGGCAGCTTTGCTTTGCTTTGTGCGTGTGTGTGATGTGCGATGTTGGAGTGCGTGTGTGATTTGATGTGATGACAGTCGCAGATGGAAACAACGCATTGTTTAGTGTGTTGGAACGCATTGATTGCTGGATCAAGGAAGGTCAGGAAAAGTCGTGTCATCAAATTGTGCAATGTAACGAGGGAGAGATGAGCACGTGTGCGTGTGTGCTTGTGTGTGTGTGTGTGTCCGTGTAGTGTGCAGTGCGAACACACAGCGTGTGTCCTCTGCGTGCTGCTTCACTGAGACACACGCACACAGAGGACACACATACACACAGAAAGCCGCAAGACACACACAGAACACATGATGTGACACACACTTGTTAACTACATACAGCAAAGAGAGGCTCAGTTGATCCAGTAGAAGCGATCATCAAAGCCCACCGCGTGCAGCCGCTCACACATGGCCTTGCGGAAATCAGCCGCCGCCAACCACACAGCCTCCTTCGAACTCGACCCAGACTCCTGCAGCACATTCACCACAAACGATGACGACGACGACGACGACGACGACGACGACGATTGCTCTGTGCTTCCTGCCGCATCTCCACCATTGAGACCACCACCAAGATGACCATCACTGCCACCACTGCGACCACCACTAGGGAGAAAGGGTTTGAGGGCGGGAGAGGTGTGGTTCGTGCTTGTGCTGTCGCCAATGAGATCAAGAAACGCAGCACGAAGCAGCTGGCTGCCTTGAAGATCCCGCGCGCCGGCATCAATGCTGCGGCCGCCAAGGCTCTTGCCAAAATCCCATGACCGCTGCGCAAGGATCCAATCCCAGATGTGGAACGGGTACCGCGATTCGAGCGCCAGCGCAGTCAGCGCCACCGGGTGCACGGGGGGCAGGTCCACCTCAACCACATACACGGGCGACGCAAACGCCTTTGCAGCCACGCGGCCCAGGCTGATGGCCGCGCAGTTCACGCCAATCACGCTGCCCATGTCGTAGTACGCCTGCGGCGCAGTCACAAAGTTGGGCCCGCCAAACAGCTGCAGCAGCAGGTCCTCTGTCCCAGCAGGGTACGCGGCAAACGTGTCGCGGATGTACTTGTGGAAGCGGTCGCGCGTCCACAGCGTGATGGTGACGTTGGGCTGCACATCCTCCTCGTCCCGCATGGTCGACAGGTACAGCGGCACGTCGATGATGGGCGTGGCCAGCGCCTCCCGCAGCGAATTCGCAATGGTCACGCCGTCCACCGCCAGCAGGCCAACCAGGGACGTGAGCCCCCTTGGGTCGCGGCCTGGGCGGAGATCAGCCGTGCCGGCCAGCCACGCTCGCGGCACCGCCCTCATCAGCTCCTTGGCAGGGAGGGCGCGCAGGCACTTGGCCAGCGCAGCGTGCGTGGGCTCCGAATGGCACTTGGTGCTGTTGATGAGCGGCGCGTGGGAGCGCTCCGTTGTTACCAGGTCCTGCGTGATGTTCAGCGACGGTGAGAGGGAGATGGCGGCGTGAAACAGGCCCTTGGCCGGCGGCGAGCTCAGCAGCGCCATGATGTTCGTGCCGCCGCTCGATTGCCCATACAGCGTGACCGAGTCTGGGTCGCATCCAAACGCCGCCGCGTTGTGCTGCACCCACTTGAGCGCGGCAATCAGATCCGTGATGCCGTAGTTGCCCGACACGCCGCGCGGATCCGCTTCCGCCAGCGCCGGCGACGCCAGAAACCCAAACACGGTCAGCCGGTAGTTTGGTGCAATCACGCACAGGTCCTCCTGCCGCGGCAGGTTGTCCAGCCCCGGATATGCGTCGAGGGACCCGCCCACGTTGGAGCCGCCGTAGATCCAGAACGCAATCGGCTTCAGCCGCTTCTTCTGTGGTTGTGATGATGATGATGATGATGATGATGATGATGATGATGATGATGATGATGATGATGATGATGATGATGATGATGATGATGATGATGATGATGATGATGATGATGATGATGATGAAGAAGAAGAGGAAGATGAAGAAGACGACGACGATTGTGTTGAGGATGACGATGACTGCGATGACTGCAACGTGCTGTTGTTGCGGGCAGATTCGTGAGCAAATATCGTGTTGCTGGTCGTGCTGCTGCCGTCCTCGAGGCCTTTGGTCCACACGTTCAGGTACAGGCAATCCTCGGAGACGTGGTCAGGGCCAAGCGGTGCGGACTGGTAGCAGGTGTTTGGGTCCTTCGTTGCGTTGAGCACAGATGTCGATGACCCAGGACATGTCTTCACAGCAGCCGGCATAAACCGCAACTTGTCCACAGGTGGCTCAGCAAACGGAATGCCTTGCACAGGTGTGTTGTGTTGTGTTGTATTGTATATGCGTGCGTGTGTGTGCGCGCGCGCGTGTGTGTGTGTGTGTGTGTGCGTGCGTGGGTGTTGAGTGTGTTGAGTAAACGCATGCGACAAGGGTGAATATTGTGTGTGTGTGTGTGTGTGCGTGTGTGTGTGTTGAAGAGCAAGAAGGGGACACAACAAGCACACAATAGGGAACAAAGCAGCCGCCCATTCACGACACGCACAAGCACAAAACCACCACTCTACTGGTCACCCACCTCGAAAGACGACGAGCGATGAGTTCTTTGCATCTCGTTCACCAATGACCAAGGCACCACAAGGAAGGGTGACGTTGGGCTGTGGATGGTAGTCGCCAGTGGCCGTGCTTTGCCCAGCCACCCTGCCTTCAACAAACGTATGCCCTCCAACACCCAGCGCCAAACACATCACGGCGACCACCGCCGCAACAAGCCTCATCATCTCTGCTGTCGTTGTTTGCATCCTCCAAGTTGTGGGTCGTGGTTGCGGAAATTTGTACGAAAACTTCAACGAAATTCAGCAAGCAAAGCAAAAAAAGCAAGAAAGAAAGCGGAAAGGCAGGCTTGTGGCCTGTATGAGTGTGAAGTGTGGGCTTAGTTGTTGGCCTTTGTGTTCTCCTGGTCCTCCTTCTTGTGCTGCCGCACAGGCACGGCCTGCAAGCGGCGCGTGTGATGGGAATAACGTGCATACATTCATGTGTGCATGTGTGTGAACGATTTGAGGGAGTGTGTGAACGATTTGAGGGAGTGTGTGTGTGTGTGTGATTGAGAGGCCTTGTGGAGCGTGGTCAGTGGTGGCGTGGGTCAAGAAGTACGACAGGGACACACAACCACAGGTACACAACACCACACACCTGGAAGGCGGTGTCGAGGAACCCACGAACGATGTCGTCAATGACACTGCGGTCCGGCACGCTCTGCGCAACGCCATACAGCGCAGCAGCGCCCGTAGCCTGGTGACAGTGGTGGTGGTCGTCGTGGTGGTGGTGATTGAAGGGGGAAAAGGACGCAAAAGGCAAGCAGAACACACGAGCGTGTGGAATGAGAACTGTGAAAGGAAACAGCAAAGAACACGCAGCGACAAACCGCCCGCACACTGTCAAACGGCACACACAACGATTCATAAAAATGAAACACACTGATGCGAACACAAACACACACGCACACACACACACACACACACACACACACACACACACACACACACTGACGAACACGCGCACACACACACGCACACACACGCACACACACACACACACACACACACATATGTTCCCCCCTCCCCAAGCACACCTTCTGCTGGGGCGACTTCATGAGGACGGCGGTGGTGTCGGCCAGGTCGGCGAGGAAGTGGTCAGCCAGGCCCGGCGACGAGTGGGCCATCGTCACGCAGATGTGCATGCTTGCAGGGAACTGAAGAACGTTCAGGTCCCACCCCTTCTCGTGCACGAGCCCCTCAAGCATGCTGTGGTCCGTGATGCAAGTGAGTGCAAGTGAGTGCAAGTGAGTGAACACAGCAAGCAAGAATGATACAACAACACCCAGCATCGCATGCGTCAGAGCAATACAACAACGTGTGTGAAAGCGCGGCTGCACATGAACCCCCCCCCCACAACACACCAACACACACACGACGCACAACACACACGCACACACACACACATACACAACACACACACACACACACACACACACACACACACACACACACACACACAACACACACACACGCGCGCGCACCGGTTGATGTCGAAGACGTCTGAGGTCCAGGCGACAATTGGGCCCTGCGGCTCGCACACAAGCTTGATGCCGTCAATCTTCTTGATTCCTGCGCGGCATTGGAGGTGGTGTTGACGAGGCAATGCAACAGGTGAGGCAGTGTGATATGATGATGGTGGTGGAGTGTGAGAACAGCACCGCGTGAAAGAAACTGGAAACATGCGCTCCATCACCACGTACACACACACACACACGCTCACACACTCGCACACACACACACGCACACACATACAACGTAAACACACACAACGTAAACACACACAACGTAAACACACACAACGTAAACACACACCCCAATGTACAAACAGCAACTAACCCTCTGCAATGGCGACCACAGTCTTCATGATGCACTTGGCGTTGTGCAGGTAGCCCTCGTACCCGTTGCTCATCATCGCAGACCATGTCGCCTGTTGCAAGAAGAAGGCAACACATGTGTCAAACAACATGCGCATACTTGCATCATTGCATGCAGAGCTGCGCGTATCACTGCCCATCACTGCCCACCACCGTCACCACCACCACCACCACCACCACCACCACCACCACGGTTATCAACGCCAGAGGGATCAGAAACAGCACCACAGGTATCACCACCACCACCACTGTGAGCGCACCGCGATGAGGGCGCCTGGACGGGAGCCGGCAACGGTGGGTGTGCCGTACACACCGCCGGGCCAATCCGGGAACACGGAGTACGTGGCGCGCCGCAGGTCCTTGTTCGCAAACATCACAACAGAGGAACCCTGTGCATGCGTGTGTGCGTGTGTGCGTGCGCATGCGTGTGTGTGTGTGTGTATGTGTATGTATGAGTGAGTGATTGTGACAGCAAGAATGTGTCGGCAGTGTAGGCAAAGGACTCATGCAGCAGACACAGGCTGCATATCAAGAACAGCAACACAGCGCAGCCACCAAACAGCCGGCACGTAGCGTCGTGGCGCGCACCTTGGGAGCGCATCCAAACTTGTGCGTGTCAGCGGAGATGGAGGTGACACCGTTGACGCTGAAATCAAACGCGGGAAAGTCGGGGAACCCTGCTTCCCGCATAAAGGGCACGACAAACGATCCCAGGCAGCAGTCAACGTGCAGCCCAATCTGCAGTCAACGCAACCACAGCGAATGCAAGTGTGAGTGTGTGTGTGTGAGAGAGAGAGAGAGAGGCTTGTGTGTGTGAGCGTGTGAGTGTGTGTGTGTACGTCAAAGTGTGTGTGAGGTTGAGAGAGAGAGACAGTGTGTGTGTGCGTCACAGTGTGCGTCAAAATGTGTGGAACATGTGAGCCGCAGCGAGCACAGCACGCGCATGCCGCCACCCGTACGTCGTGCTTGCGGGCGAGCTTGGCCAGGTCCTCGATGGGATCAACAGCACCGTGCGGGTACTGCGATGGCACAATGATATGGGGTGGGTTGATGGTGAGCACGGTGCCAAGCGTTTGGAGTGTTGTGTTGGTGGAGACGTGGTCGAGAGTCGGCACACAGGGTTTAGGCAAAGAACCAAAGGCAATACATGCATGCAAGCATCACAGCCGAACCCCCTTGCAATCGCATGCATGCACGCACGTATGGATGTGTGCAGTCGCAGGTGGTAAGTGAGAACAGGAGAACGGGGCGACGTTACCTGGGGGCAGGATCCAACAATGGCGATGGTGTTGCTGTCGATGAGACGCGCCATGGATGAGGGGATGGCCTGACGCGTCGTCTTGTCCTCGTCCGCTTTGCGCAACTGAAGAGAGTGTGTGTGTGTGGGGGGGGGGAAGGGGGAGAGATGAGAGATGGGAGAAGGAGACATATGATGGTGGTGGTGGTTGAGTTGGTTGGGGCGTCAAACGAAGCGAGGGCGAAAACTAAACATGTGGTTGACAAGAAGCGCACTTGTTCAAACAAACAAACAAAACAAACAAGAAGACGGTGTGACGTACGGAGATGCCAAAGTAGTCGCAGGCCTTGTCAAAGGCCGGGTGTGCGGTGCGGGTGACAACAACGTTGGGCTTTGTGATGCCTTTCTTCTCTGCAAAGTACTCCTTGTACGCCTGGGCGTGTATTTGTGTGTGCGGGTATGAGAGGGAGAAGCAGGTGACGCAGTTCGCGTGAAATGAATTGTGACGTATCCACAAGCCAGCAGCAACTACACACACACACACACGCACGCACGCACACACACACACACACACGCACACACACGCACGCACACACGCACACACACACGCGCACACACTCGCACACACACACACACGCACGCACGGGGGCAGATCCTTACGCGGATGGCGAGGATGATGGACTCGGTGCCGCCGCTCGTGTGTGCGCCGCAGGTGCTCTCGTCGCCGTGAAACAGCGTGCAGCACATGCGCACAATCTCTGCCTGCAAGCAACACAGGGCACGCGCATGTGTACATGTGTGTGTACATGTACATGTGTGTGTGTGTGTGTGCAGCAGGCAATCCCGCAACATTGCTCGCACCCTTGCATCCCGTGGTACAGTCTCAACTCACAACGCACGGCTGTGCAAGCAATGTCACGCTCCAACCCACGCTCTATGAAAGCACGAAAAGCACCCAACACCACCAGCACTATCACAGCACACCAACATCAGCACAGCGCACCTCCATCTGGCGAATGCCGGGGAAGACGCCCGAGTGGAGCGGGTTGGTCCAGGCGAACATGCCATACACAGTCGTGATCATCTTCGTGTACTCCTCATACGACTCGCCGCCAACGTAGATCGTGCCAGACACCTGGCCAATCAGCAAAGGCGGAGAGAGGGTGCATGTGTGTGTGTGTGTGTATGTGTGTGTGTGTATGTGTGTGTGTGTGTGTGTGTGTGTGTGGCAACGAGGGTCTTCAGAAAAACACAGCTGCAATCATCAGCATACGCAAGGCACGAAACGTTTCGGTCACACTGTACCTTGCCCTCGGCATGGCGCTTGTCTGGTGCGCCAAGCTCGCGAAGCGTGTTCAGCTTGGCAAGCACTTGGCCCGTGGTCAGACCGTGTGTCGGCAGCTTGCGGTTGGCCTGAAAACATGTCACATTGGGGTGCGACAGACATGGTAAGCAACTCCATTTTGTCTTCTACAACTGGGAACATTGTGTACACGAACATTTCCCATTTGACACGAACAAGCAAGCAGGCAGGCAATCAAACGAGCAACCAAGCATCATGCAAGCAAGCAAAAGCAAACAAGCAAACACAAGCAAGCAGACGAGCCAAACACCGTACCTTCCAGTGGGTAAAGTACTTGAACATGTCGTGCTCAACGCCAACGAGAGTCTCTTCCACTTCGGAGGCAATCTTGCTGCGAACAAACGGGATCTTGCGGGCAACACGAAACACCCACAGCTTCAGGCGCAGGAACCATGACCGGTCGTCCGCAAACAAGAACACAAACAGCTTGGCCACCAGCACATACGCGGCAATGGCAAGCGCAGCAACCTGAATGGAGCACGAAGCACATGCATGAAACAAGCAGGCAAGAGGGAACCCCCCCCCCCCACACACACACACAGCAATGCAAGGAAAGAGAACAACAACAATGGTGAGGAGCATGTGAGAAGATAAGGAGATGGAACGCGTTGAGGGACACGTGGACGTGGTGGTGGTGGGAGCGTGCGTACAGTCACATGTCACACATGTGGAAGGACTACCACGACTTCTTGTTGTGTGTTTCTGTTGTGTCATTTCGCACCTGCCATGCTTCGTACGGCGCAGCGTAGGAGTTGAAGGTGGTGGTGGCTGTGTCGAAGACCTCTGTGCACTGCTCGGCCATTTCCTTGGTCTGGCACACGCCAACCACGGCGGCGGCGCCAACAACAGCAAGCGACGTCCACATTTGTTCGGTGATGGCACTGGCTCTGGTTGTTGGATGGAGGGTTTGGAGGGTGAGGTGGCAGTGTGTGTGTGTTGGCGCAGAAACTGTTTCTTCTTCTGCGGCTGTTGTTGTTGAGCAAGGACTAGACCCTTATGTGCACATCAAATCACACAAATTATATGTATTTTGCATCGGTTATGTGCGCGTTTGTAACACACCAGGAC